CATAACCAAAATAACCTTATGGTAATAAAATCTTCATATAATTAAAGTCTAAATGTCTAATAGATACTGGGGAAAAAAAAAAAAAACTTATCATACTTAATAAAATATTATCTATAGTTGGAAAAATACGAGAAAGAGATCGTGGATCTCCCTTTTTTTTCTACTTTTTTGTTTGCTTAGAACATCACAAGCTTTTTGAGTCCTTGTGAATGCAAAAAATTCTTGTTGAGAGACTCACCCGTCATAGTCAGGTGTGCGATCCGGGTCGACCAACGAATTAGTCGGGGTAAAGCTCCGAATACTGTCGTTGGCTACCAAAAAAAAATCTTAAAAGTTGAAAAACGTGATTAAAAATCTTGAATGAAAGTTTATCAAAGTTTATTTGCCCATGGCTATGACGGGTTCAAACATGCCGAAGAAAGGAAAAATGATATTTTGAGTATTGCGTTCACAATTGTCACTTAACAAATTGAATGCTCTAAAATTTTTAACGTGCATAGATAAATATATGGTATTTCATAATATATATATATATTTATATGACGAGTCAATCTACTTAACCGTTAGATACAACTCACACAAGAATTGAGCGTCTAATTGGAAACCAATATAATCCACAAAGTTAAACCTCTAATCTCCAACAACCCCAAAAATTACGAGGTTCACTACACCGGCGAACGCACACGTCCACAATGGAACATAAATTTCGCCAAGTTCCATGCATGAGAAATAATAATAAGGTTAGTCAATGAAAAATAGGAAAAATTGTACCATTGGTCCACTAACTTTCACCTAGTTGTACTTTCGTCCTTTATTTGTTTCCGGTTTATAAATGGTACACTAACTTTTTTTTTTGGCAGCGTTGGTCCAAAATCACATTCCGGTGACATTTTGCTGATGTGGCTCCCGGATCAGCTCATGACACGTCAGGAGGTGACGAGGAATTCCGGGATGACTAGGCGCCACATCAGCTGATCCGGGAGCCACATCAGCAAAATGTCACCGGAATGTGATTTTGGACCAACGCTGCCAAAAAAAAAAAGTTAGTGTACCATTTATAAACCGGAAACAAATAAAGGACGAAAGTGCAACTAGGTGAAAGTTAGTGGACCAATGGTACAATTTTTCCATGAAAAATATTACAAAATCTTCTATGGAGATATTTAGACTTGTCCAAATTAGATTCTCCATTGTGTTGGATATTCAACAAACGCTTGATAAAATGTAATGGATCCACATCCCTCCCTATATATTAATTCAAAACGTGTTGAGCCTAATGACAGATTCTTACGCTTCGGATGTTGACATGACGAAAATCTATGTTTCGTGATGTTGTTTTTATATTATTTTTATTCTGAATTAGGTTTGGTATTAGACATAAATAATTTTACACGTATTTTCATTAACTCAACACTCATGTTGTATACGGGTATTAATACTAGTTTTTTTAGTATTGTCAAAAAGCACAATTATATATGGGTACACAACAGACTTGAATCACATATTAATTCACACCATTAGATATTAACTCTTTCAACGGACCTATCATAAGCCATCCATCGTTGCCTTGAATAAAGGCTTTGCTTTAAGTCACTATTTTCCATACACAAATCACTTACTTTAATTGTTATCTACAGCAAAATGTTTCATCTTTAATTTACAACCTTTTTTGG